ACCCCCGCTCCCCCACCCCCGCCAACCCCCTCTCAGCCTCCTCTCCCCCAGGCGGGCTACGTAGGTGCAGGCAGAGTCGCTGTTGGCCTGTATCTGGGTTCCCCAGACCTCCCAGGGGAGGGACAGCAAGAAGGGGGGTTGGAGATGGTGGATGCTAGAGGGGCTGGGAAATGGCCGCAGCAGGGAAGAACCAGGCCTGAATGAAGTCTGCATCTGGACAGGGTGAGGAGAATCTGGTTCATTTCCCGCCTTTCCCCGCCCCAGCCCAGGACCGAAGCTTGGCCATCGCCTCCCTCACTGGGCCTTCTTTCTAAGCGGTAGGAAGCTGCCCGAGATGCTGATGTGGCGGCTGCCTGCATGATCTAGGATCTCCTCTAATCAGCAGGACCAGGACCCTTTGATAAACGAGGTCATTGAGGTGACTTGCTGGGCTGAGGCCCAGGTCAGCCCTCTCCCAAGTGGAAGCTGCCATGTTTGACAGCCACTGGTCCTCATTGGCACCCTCAGCTTCTGTCATTGAGCATTTCTCTCCTTACGGAGTCCCTGCTGGCACCGCAGCCTGGGTTCTCCTTACAGTTTAGGGCAGCCCTTCTCAGTTCCCTTGTGCACTTCTTTTCCTTCCTCCGACAAGTCTCCAGCGCTCTGAGCTGGGCCCACTTGTCTTCCCATTCAGACACTGTCCCTGGGGGAGCTCAATGTGTGCCCTCCCCAACATGGGGCTTCAGTGAGGAGCCCCCCCCCAACACCCCAATAAACACAGAGGCAGCTCTCTTCAGAGGCAGAAACCTAGCAGGCAATGGCCTGGATATCTGCCCCAGGATGTTACACATCCCAGGGATGGCACCATCATCTCCCTGGTACGTGGGAATGTGCATGTAATGGGACCAGGTGTGTGGGTCAGAGGGAGGACTGAAAGGAGGGAGGTGTCCATACACAAGACTTCTTTAGCCTCAGTGTGGCCCTTTCTTGTCTGCAGGGCCCTATTGCAACGCACAGGGGAGCAAGCTCTGTGTTGGGCCTGGAAGAATCCTCACTGTGTGTGTGTGTGTGTGTGTTTTATAGAGGTTGCTTCTGGAGCAGAAATCCCTGGTTCTGTTGGGAGAGGGGCGAGGAGACAGGCCTGGGGTCAGTTGCTCAGAAAAATTTGGATGTCATCAATGCTTCCTGTGGTGACTCTCTGTAAGAATCAAGCTGAGCTCCTTTAAAGGGAGTCCTTTAACAAAGACCTTTAAAGGGGGTTAGGATCCCTAAGGATCATGAAAATCTTCAAGGGGGATGAGTGTTCCTTGGGAGCCAGCTTTGGTGAGGGCAATAGGTGGGACTCCCCCTACACCCCCAGGTCCCTGAGGGTTTGGGGTTTTAAAGGGGAAGCTATCATGGCCCAGACACCGGGATCCTCACAGGACACATCTCTAATCAAGGCAGAACTTCAGCCCCTCGGCAGCCCCTAGTCTTCTTCCCGGGCCCACCGGCAACACACTCATAGCTCACAAGACGGACCTCCTCACTCCCTTCCCAAGGTCCTGGGATTCAGAAAGCTGGTCACCTGTGCCGGGTCCCAGTTTTCTGCCCAGAGACCTGCTACATCCCTTGGTCAAAACCCCATGCAAATCAGGTTCCTTTCACTCAAGGACCTCTGGAGGGGCTTACTCTGGTTCCCCAGCCACACATGTGACACCCCTGCCCATCCCCTACTCGGGCTGTCTGAACCCCATGGCCACTTTCTCTGAGAAACTTTCCTGGCTTCCCCCTCCAGTTATCTTCTCAAACCAGGCCTTTAGCTGTCCCGTGCCCTCACGCAACCTTTACTCGTCATAACACTGGGACTCCTTTACCACAGTGACTTCAATGGTCAGCACCGAGCAAGACACAAAGTGGTTGCTAAGGAAAGGTCTGCTGTGTGCGAGAATGAATGGGGGCTTGAGGTACTGTTTTCGAAGCTCCGGCTGAGCTGTCCTGGCTACTGAGAGTCAGCAGATGTCCTGGGACCCTTCTGATCAGGGGCCTGGTTTTCTCAAGAAGCATGACATCTGGATGGGCTTTAGGACTGAGCCTTTGGCAAACAACTGTTACCCAGAATGACCCTGAGCCAGCAGGGACCCTGCTTCTGTTTTCACTACAGGCTTCAGCTTGGACCCACCCAAGGGCTCAGCCTGCTGTGATTTGGTACTGGTTTCTAGGCTTTCATGGGACCTGACCTGGAAAATAATAGGAAATATACATTATGTGTTGGTCTTTGTTCCCAGTTCCCAGCATAGAACTCCTAAAAACACTTAAAATTTCTTGGGTGATGCTTTTGTTTTAATGAGGTGATTCTTGGTGGGCTCCTGGATAGCTTCAGCAGAAAGATGAAGCCACAAGTAGCAGCTTGGAACTTTCAGCTTCACCCCATCTTCTGAGAAGAGGTTGAGTTAATGATTGATCATGCCTACATGATGAAACGCTCATAAAATCCCAAAAGCATGGGGGTTGGAGAGTTTCTGGGTCACTGGAGCTATTGGGAGGGTGACACGGAAGCTCTATGCCCCTTCCTCTGTATCTGGGTATTCATCTGTAGCCTCTATCCTTTATGGCAAACCAGTAATGTGTTTCCAACTTCTGTGAGCACAGAAGCTCCACGCCCCTTCCTTCCATCTAGATGTTCATCTGCATCCTTTATCCTTTTGTGACAAACCAGTAATGTAAGTGTTTCCGACTTCTGTGAGCCATTCTAGCAAATTATTGAGACTAAGTAGGGGGTGTGAGAACCGCAGTCATACCCAGTCAGAAGTACAAGTGACAACCTGGGACTCGAACGTTTGCATCTGAATTGTGTATGTGTTGTGCGGGGGTGGGGGGCAGTATTATGAGATGCCCTTACCCTGTGGGAGCTGACTATCTCCAGGTAGATAGTTGAGTTAACTTGTGAGACATCCAGCTCCCACACGTCAGGTGTCAGAAGTGAAGAGCAGGAGTGTGAGAGAGGTGTCCTATCCTCCATTTCCTATCATCTCCCACCCACTCCCATCTCACGCTGACAACTCAAAGGAGCTGGGAATTGCTCAGATTCCTCTTGCCTGGATGGGTAATGCAGAGTCCTGCATGCCCATTTTCAAATGACAGCCATGGCTGGTGTTCTCAGTGGTTAGAATGTTGGCCTGTGCACTGTAGGGGCATGGGTTGATTCTTGGTCAAGAGCATGTATCCAGGTTGTAGGTTTGATACCTGGTCCTGGTTGGGACAGGTGCAGGAGGCAACCAATCAATGTGTCCCTCATATCAATATGTCTCTCTCTTTCTCTGCCTTCCACTCTCTAAAAATCAATGGAAAAAATATCCTTGGGTGAAGATTAACAACAACAACAACAAAATGTGCATGATGCGCACGCGCACACACAAATGGAATCAGAGAAAGACACGGCTAAGCCAGAGGGATTTATTAGATTCCAGCAAGACTATACAATACTGTTTCATGCAGATTAAATGTGAGACTTTGCTACCCTGGGGAGGGAGCACTTTCACTGCCACCTTTTTCCTTGGTGTCAAGGGGTGTGTGTCAAGGGGAGCTCTCAATATATTCTGCATGGGGGACAGTTGGGATTGTGACTGGGGGTGGAGGTGAGACAGTGGACAGCTGCGGGCCCCTTGGACCTTGAGTCTTCAGAGGTCCAGGGACCACAGGACCTTGGTCCTTGGCTAGTGGTGGCACTAGAGGATCTTGATCTTTCAGAGGCACCGAGATGATAGGAACTGGATTCTTCACAGGCTCAAGGACCACAGGACCTTGGTTCTTTGGGGGCTCAGGGATCACAGTGCCCCGATCCTTGACTCGTTCTGGGACCATAGAACCTTGATTCTTTACAACTACAGAATCATGACCCTTCAGAAGCTCTGAGGTCACGCCACCCTGACCCTTGACTGGCTCTGGAACCACTGAACCTTGGTTCTTTGCAGGCTCAGAGAGCATAGGACCTTCTTTCTTTACAGGTGCTATGAGCATGGCACTTCGATCCTTTAGATGCTCTGGGACCATAGGACCCTGATCCTTGACAGGTGCTGGGGTCACAGGACCTGGATCCTTTGGAGTCTCTAGTACCATGGAACCTTGATCCTTAACTCTTGCTGGAACCATTTGATTATTTAGAGACACTGGAAACAAGGAACCTTGGTCCTTGACTGGTGCTGAGATCCCAGAACCTTCATTCTTTAAAGGCCCAGGGACCGTGTGATCTTGATTCTTAACTGCTGTGGGAACCATGGAACCTTTATCCTTCATAGGCGCTGGGACCCCAGGAGCTTGATCCTTCAGAGGCTTTGTGACCCCAGGAACTTGATCCTTCAGGGGCCCTGGGACCCCAGGAGCTTGATCCTTCAGAGGCTTTGTGACCCCAGGAGCTTGATCCTTCAGGGGCCCTGGGACACCAGGAGCTTGATCCTTCAGGGGCCCTGGGACCCCAGGAGCTTGATCCTTCAGAGGCCCTGGGACCCCAGGAGCTTGATCCTTCAGGGGTCCTGGGACCCCAGGAGCTTGATCCTTCAGGGGCCTTGGGACCGCAGGAGCTTGATCCTTTAGAAACTTTGGAACAGCAGGGCCTTGATCCTTCCGTGGCTCTTGGATCACAGGGCCTTGATCTTTCAGAGGCCCCAGGCCCACGGGACCTTGTTTCTTGTCTGACTCTGTGGCTACAGGACCTCGATTCTTATGTGAGTCACTGGTGGGATGGACCTGGCTCCTGCAGAGAAGAGAGAGGTGGTCACTGTGAGGGCCAGAGCTCAGGCCAGGGATGGGGCAGAGCACAGATTGCCTGTGGAGCCTGGGCAGGGCAGCTCTTGCTGGAGAGCCAGGAGGAGAATCTGACTTCCATGCTCTTAGTATAGAATGTGGGGTCAGGGGAGGGGCAGGTTCGGGAACCAGTCATTCAGTGTTTGCCAATTGATTATAACCTGCACGTGGCACAGAGGATGGCACCCAGTGAAAACGGCAGTGCTCTAATGGGACGCAGGGTCCTCCAGTGGGCAGCGC